CAAAATCATCAGGACAGGCCGGCAGGCTGCAGACTCAGGGAAGAGTTGCAGTTCAAATCCCAAAGGTGACCTGCTGGCAGAATTCCCTCTTCTTCCAGGGAGGTCAGTCTCTGTTCTCTTAAGGCCTTCAACGGACTGGATGAGGCTCACCCACATTATGGAGGGTAATCTGCTTTACTCAAAGTCAACTGATTTACATGTTAATCTCATCTAAAGAATACCTTCACAGCAACATCCAGAATAGTGTTTGACCAAACATCTGGGGACCATGGCCCAGCCAAATTGACACATAACATTAATCCTCACCCCCTCCAAGCCCTGCTGAAGTCAGGGGTAAAGTCAGAAAGGTCGGGTCAGGGAGGAAGTGAGTAGATGGGCATCCATGAGCACCCTAAGCCCCACAGAGCTGCCTGATGACAGATCCCACCCCCACCCCGGGAACGCTATGAGTGACCAAAAGCATGCTCTTGCATGGAATGCAGAGACAGTGACAGGACTCAGGACTGAGGCACATGCACTGTCCTGGCCACTCATCTATCCATCACTGGGAGTCCCACGGGCACAGCACATAGAGAGCTGAGACCAAGGCAAATCTGACCAGGGAGAGTATGAGGAGCTCAGGGAGACACGGTGCCGGACGTTCAATCAGACCAAGGCACCAGCTGACCCAGCCTCTGAGTTCTTGCAGTGCCCACAGTGTATCTCGAAGGTGCCTCTGCTCGTGGGGATTCACTAGTCCTACTGACAGTGATTGTCCACCAGCTAAGAGATGTGCTCCCAGCTGTTTGGGATGATGAGAAAGTTCTGGAAATGGATAGTGGTAATGGCTTCACAACATTGTGAATGTACTTAATGCCACTGAACTGGACACTTAAGATGGTTAAAATGGTAAATTTTATATTATGTACATTTTACCACAATAAAAACCAAAAGTACGCTCCTTGAGGACAGGCTCACACCTTTCCTTTCAGCCCCCACAATACACAATACATATTTCATTCCTCACCTCATGTTACAGTTTACCAGATTACCAAGGCCCCAAGGCCCAAAGGCCCCGGCCCTAAAGGCTTCACAAAGCAGTGTGAATGGCCTAATTTGATTGTTCCTCAGGCCATGAGCACTGCAGGTTGGCATCTTCACATATTGATTCCTTTTCAAGTGTTTGGTGCACAGCAAAACACCAAGATAGACATTTTGGATCCAAGGACTTTTAAGGTAAACGGTCCTGCAGGACAGCTCTATGAATGCCGAGTGGGAGACCAGGCCCACCAAGCTGAGCCAGTGCCTCCTGTAAGAGGTTGCTGGAAGGAGGACTGAAGCGAGATCTGAAGACAGACGAGGCAGCACCACGTTACAGAGCGGGAGGGCATTTACACGGGGGTCTGACTCACTCTGCAGTGACCAAAGCTCATCTGATGCTTCTTCCTCCTGCAAACTTTTTACTCTCTCCCTCTTGTGCTCTCAGAAACGAAGGATATTAACCCCTTAATTTTCAGAACAATACAGTTACTTTAATGTCTTCTCCTATTCCCATCCTACCACACCCCTCTTTATACTCTCTTCACATAGGACTCTCATAGGACTGTCATCCACTTTCATCTGATTCTAAGATTTCCCTTCAAATGAATTCAAGAGCATTAAACCTGTGAAAATACCGAAAAACACTTAAGTTCTTCTAAACTCCATCACCGTTAGTATTATTATTTTTGTGTAGCTGCTGGCCTTCCCTCCTCAACCAGACGCCCTTGTGGGGACAATCTCGCCCCCTCTGAGGCACAGACAAAGCAGGCTGGCTGCACTGAGCTCCTGATCAGCTTTTCCACTCACCTTTTCTGGGACCACTTAAGAAATCACTAACCAATTTGGAATTTTTTTCTCACTTATTTCTTCATCTAGACTCTTTCAAGTGGAGCTAATCCTTATCTGGTCCTACTTCAGAAGGATGCACTCTGGCAAGCAAAGCCGAAGCAAGACCTTGGTCTCTCCGGGAAACACACCTGTGAATCCACTGTCCCTTCAAGATATCACCTTAGCTCACGACGGAATAACTGGAAGAAAGTCATCTGGCCAGCTCTGCAGACCCTAACCGGTAGGCCCCCAGACCAATTCTGTCAACGCGTAAGGAACAACCACAAAAGCTCTGTGGCACGCGCTGTTACTAGCTCGTGGGTTTTCAGGCCTCAGTGATCTGGGCTGGACATATTCAAGAAGAACCAGGCATACGCCCTTCCGATCTCTTCATGCATCACATCTGCCTGCACCCCACTGGCCACAGCAAAACGAAAGGCCAACCTCAGAACTGGGAGGGGTGCGCAGACTCTGCCGCCAGGGAGAGAACAGCAGAATGGCCAAGGGCCATGCAGGCAGCAGGCCGGCCAGTCTCTTCAAGGCTTAGCAACTGGGCTTCTCCGGTGAAAAGTCATTTAGAAGAACAATGGATCGGAGAAACTAAAACTAAGAAAAAGTTCTTGTGTACACAACCCCACATGTGATGTTTACAAAAAGGAGAATCATAGAATCTTGCAGTAGAAGGGACCTCACTGATTAATTTACCCCATCCCCTCGCTCTGTAGACAAAGACACCAAGATCACACAGAGCTGGGACTGTTGCTGCCCCTCAGGACTGAGGAGGGAAGGGGTGGCCTAGGGTCACAGGACAGAAGCCACAGTCGGTGCTGGGTCTGTGCTGACCAGCAGGAACCCCTGAGTGCCCAAGGTACCTCATCTGGAAAACAGGGATAAATGCCGCCGATCCTCACACCTCACAGGCTGATGTGAGAACCCAGGAGATGCAGAAGTGAGTGCTCTTCGGGTGTAAGGTGCTGCTCTGCTCTGTGCCTCTCGCCCCATGGACCTGCCCAGGCTGCTCCCTTTCAAAAGCTGTCAAAACAAGATTAGGACCTGGAGAACCAAGAACAGGGACATGACACTAAAAAGACCATCGTCCCCAGGTTGTGTGGCTCCTTTGCAGTGCCTCCTGGCTACTCCCAGACAGAGGTGTCCCCTCCCTGCTTTGCTGCCCACCACAGGCACCTTCAACTGGACCTAGGAACAAAGATGAACTGCAGAGAAAAGAAAGTTCTTGCTCCACCCCAGCCCAGGACAGCCTGCAGCTGGACGGTGACTGCTCCCTCCGCACTTGTGTGCACAGGTGTTTTAGAGGTCGCCCTTGGAAAGCTAGATTGCTTTTGACTGGGAGCTGCCAGCTTCAATTCTGGCTTCTAAATACAAACCTGCATGCTATTGCAAAGCCTCTTAGAATCACAGCGTTCTAGAAACAAAGTGGGAGCTGACTCAGTGGTGTAGTGGTTAAGCTCGTTTGTTCCTCCTCAGCAGCCCAGGGTTCGCAGGTTCAAATCCCCAGGATGGACCTACACACTACTTGTCAAGCCATGTGTAGGGGCATCTTACACACAAAAAGTAGAGGAAGATGGGCACAGATGGTAGCTCACAGCCAATCTTCCTCACCAAAAAAAAAAATATATATATATATATATATAAATATATATATAAATAAAGGAAACTTCAAGGTACCAATCCAAACTTTTCATTTTATAGATGAGGATTTTATAGGTACCTTGAGAGAGAGAGAGAGATCCGTGATAATGGACATGATTCCTAGCTACTCATCAAGTTTACAGTAAAAAGGAAACGGTGCTAGATGCACATGCGAACGGTTACTCAAAAGTTACACAGGCAGATCCCCAAGAAGGCAGGACCATGCCTTCATATTGCAGTGCCTGGCACAATGCTGCAGATAACAGGTATTCAATAAGTATTTATTCAAAGAATGAATGACTGTTCTTCGGGAGGAGTTAGATAAAGTGAACCTGACTCCCCTGTCTCCATGGTAGTGTCACTGCAAAGGACACTACAGAGGTGGCAGGGGCCACTGGAGGCTGTGCAGGGACAGAGGCCCCAGGCACATGCAGACTGAATCCTGCTCTGGGATAGGTCCACTCTGGCAATGGCCTGAAGCCTGTACACGAGCAGACTCAAGCTCAGGGTCCAGCTGGAAATCCTGGTCCCAGCCCAACCTGAAGGTCCCCCGGTCCTGCAGTGAGAGAGTAGGACGGCGCTTCTGAGCAGAGACATTTACCTGGAGCATGTGCACTTTCCTTGCTCTTGCTCTGAGCAGACGTGGTGAGGAGATGCTCAGCTGAATCTTCCTCTGAATCCTTCTCTAGCTCAGGGGGAGAAGGGAGTGCAAAAACCCTGTGCCTTGAGCCTGGGGCTGCAGCCAGGCAAGGGCAGTGAGGTGGGGTCAGCTGTGACCACAGGGCTGGCACACCTGACTAATGGGAGAAGGTGTCCCGAGCAGCAGGGCAGGAGAAGCCAGCCCAGGAGAGGAGCTGTCACTTAGGTGCCACATTCTGGTTTCCGCCAGCCCCACCTTCTCCTGTTGAGCCCTCTGTACCCTGGCTGCTCCTGACAGCTCAACATCTGACACTTTTCTTGGAGCAGAGCTCGCTGCCTCTTCTGAAATATGCGCCTGTGTCTGCCTGACAGAGCAGAGCCAGTGAGCAGGTGGCCACTCTGGCTCAAAGGGCCATGCTCCCGACAAAGGCTAATTTAACCAGCTGGCTGCTGGTGGCCTGTGAAGAGGGTGTTCTCAGGACTGGAAGGTAGGACAGATACCTGGCAGGCACGGGGCCTTTTGAGACCACCACGTAGCGTGCTCGCAAGAGAGATGGTAGTCACCTCTTGTGACTCACTGTTTCTGTGAAGCCCCTGGCTGACACTGCGAGGGCCTGAGCCTTGATCAGTGTTTACCACTGGTATTTAACCAGAGGGGCTGGAGTGGGCAGGAAGAACACAGAGGGGCAGTGCTGGCCACCCTCTGCCCCAGTGAGGACGGGCACAGCCCAGCCCCAGCGTCAGCTGGAACATTTGGGTGAGGCACAGTGAAAAGGTAAGTGAGCAAGTTCACCGGATACCAATTGAGCCAAGGTCCCTGGACTGTCTTCCCTTGGCCTCCCTGGACCCAGCCCAGGGCTCACCTGTATGATGAAGCCAGTGGAAGAACACTGCCTGACCCAGAGGCTGAATTTCCGCTTTTTCCTCTTTCGCAGTTCCCGCTCTGTGCATGTGGCAATGAACACAGGGTCCTCGTCAATCAGGGGTTCATGTAGCACCTGCCAGGAACAAAAAAGCAGAGAATCTCATGGAAGGCAGTGTGAGCTCAGGGCGTCATCAGTTTCGGGATTAAATCTAGTCTCTGCCTTTGATTAGCCATGTGACTTTGACTAAATTACTTTACCTCTCTGGTCCTGAGTCTCCTCATCTATAAAAGGGTATATCGATATCTACACCAGTGTTTCAGGGAGGATTAAGTAAGAAACCTGGATGCAAAGCACTTAGCACAAGCCCCAACACAGAGTAGGTATTTAGTGAATGGAAATTATTATTTATTATTATTATTATTATTGGCATAAGGTCCCCAGTCCAAATTCTCAGTTGGTAGAGGGATCTCCAGCAGGGGTCCTGACCTCCAGTTGGACATGTCCGGTAGTGGGCACCTACTTCTTGTCAAGGAAGACCTTTCCATTGATGGTTCCAACTGCTGAAAAGCTCTTTCCCTCACTGACTCAACACTGACCTACACTTAACCTAAACCTATTGGTCTGACTGCTGCCCCTATGAGAAACAAAGAAAAACACACTATTTCTTTAGGTATTCAAGACAGCTCTCACGTTGGCCCACAACCTTCTTTTTCCTAGGCTGAACATTCTCTTTGTAAAAACCATTCCTGAAATGACCCAGGTCCCTTGTTGCCGTGGCCCGGCCTCGGGCTCTCATCCAGGTTCTCAGGTTCCTTCTGACGTGGGAGTCCCAAGGTAATTTTACACTTATTTCGCCTATTTTAACTTCTTGATAACATGGTTACAGGACTTTTTAATGACAAGACAATAAAGTAAAAAGAAATCGCATAACAAAAATAGGCTCCAGGGGTGGTCAAAGTTTTATTTCTTTAAGCTAAAGCTTTTTTGCGGAGACTTTTAGGTAAATTTTAGGAATCTGCTACACTTCCCTCCCCAATCCTATCTCAAGCTTAATTACGAAACAGTGTGTATGTCTGCAGTGCACTGAAATGAAGAATGTAGGAAATAATATGATTCCGAGAACCCTGCACAATGCTCTAGATCAGGGGCCAGCAAACTACGGTCTAGTCTAGCCCACTGCCTGTTGTAAATAAAGTTTTATTGGAACCTGCCATGCTCATTCACTTATGTATTGTTAATGGTTGCTTTCTGGCTATAATGGCAGAACCAACAATCTGTAACAGAGACCATATGGCCCACATAGTCTAAAATATTTACTATCTGGTCATTGACAGAAAAAGTATACCAACCCCTGCTCTCCATCAGTGCTTCTCAAGCTTTAACGAACAAACTAGTCACCAGGGATCTTACTAAATGCACTTTCTGATTCACAGATTTGGGGCAGGGCCCGAGTTTCTGCATTTCCAACAAGCTCCCAGGTGATGTCAGAACATGGTCTGACAAGGGCAGAATGGAGGATAATACTTACCAACCGCGATTTGGATAGTATCCCTCCATTCTTCCATTAATGCTACCTTGAATTCCATTTAAAAAAAAATAACAGCCTTGCAGTGTTCAGTCTTAGCTGTATATACTGGCCCCTCAGTTTTTTGTTGTTGGAAGCAAGGGGACATTAAGCCTGGCCTCCCCAGTCTTGAGCCCATGAAGAGGGGGGGCTGAGAAGCTGCCTGGTGACAGCCCACCCCAGGCCCTCATGCCTGCTTCTAGTGCTCGCTGGCTCTGTGTGGCTCATAAAACATTCAAAGCCCCATTTGGAACCACTCTAGCAAAATGGACAAGTCTCATACACGGTGGGGAAGAGAGCACAGGGGAAAGGGAAAGACAGTGTAAAGAAGTGCTTTTGCTGCCTGCCTGAGGCTGCCCGATTACCCCTGCTAAAGACTGTGCTCCACTCACTCCGGAGCCACAGTAAAGGAAGCTGCCCTCTTGCTTGCATCTTCAGAAAGCCAACGTACCTCCACTCCACTTGTATTTAACATATAATCAGTTGCAAATTTATATTTAATCATATGCCTCACCAAAGCAAAAGGGCCAGCAGGAATTTCTGGCCCTAAAATGTTTTTTCGTCTTTTCCATCATCAAGTGAATTTTGAACGGGTTATTACCAAACTCAACACAGAGTGCTGTGTTCTCCAGAGCTCTATGCCTGCCTGAAAACCACTTCCTTCTCCTCCAGCTGCAGACTGGGCAGTGTTTCCCTGTTACCCAGCTGTATTTCCTGAGTCCCCTTCTGTGCGTGACAAGCTCATTTTGGGGTGTGGAGGTGGTTATGGTAGGGGAGAGAGAAAGCATCCACTTATTTACTTGCATAATCCCTCCTCGAAAATACTCCTCTAATTAATCTGGCCCCAGTTTTGAGGAAGTGCAGGGTCTCCTCATTTTGTATTTGTGAATAAACACACAGACGTATGCACACATGGTTGCTTGGGTTACTGTTAGATTCTGGGAGCCCCCTTAAGACCCTGTAAAAATTCTAAACTCATTCCAAAGGGTCACGTTTGCTAGAATAAAAGGCTCCAGAGATTGCAGGGCAGAGGGCGTGGGTATGAGCTGGCGAGGCGAGTGTGCTGTGTGTGTTGACAGTGAGTATGTGCAGGAAGCAGGGTGCAGAGTAACTCCTGGGAGTCTGGAGCAAATCCATCCACACATCTGATGGAGAGGTAGAATGAGAATTGTTCCAACTGGTCTCAACAGGCAGAAATGAAGACCCTTCAAAGGAGCCCTGAGGCTTCAGGGCAGCAGAGGGCAACTTGTAAACAAACTCACTGCTCAGTCCCTGTCTCCTTGAATGAAATGTTCCAGAACCCAAACAGGGACTCTTGTGGAGAGGCAAAGCTGGAAAACCAGGAAACCTTCAGAGCTTCCAGCTTCTCCAATCAAGGATCAGAACAGGGGCCCTCTTCCTTCTCTAAGAGGCAGACACATCTTTCAGGAGAGAACAAATGCAGGAAGTAAGCATGATGTGGCTGCTGCTGGAGGCCAAAGGGAAAAGCCCCCCATGCAGGCCCCTGGGAAGTTTAGGTCCTTCTCCACACAGAAGAGCAAGCGCTTTCCAGTGCACAAGTCAAGCTGCTTATCTGCGAAGACAGGGGCACAATGGCCTCCAGGAACCCCCAGCTACCACGAAGGCCTAATCATGCTAGAAATCAGTCCCACGCTGCAGCTTATGACTCCATCTCCTGTGGCCGACCCTGCTCCTGACCACTGACACAGCGTCACTCAACAGAGCGCAGAGTCAGGAGGAAGAGGGAAGATGAAAGAATAGCAAATTCCACCTGATCACCAGCCAAATGGACACTGGTCCAAGGGACCTTTGACTTCCCCTTTGCCTCCTGTTCCTCTCTGTCAGGTGGAGTGTAGTGGGTATTGTTTGCCCCCCAGACCCACTTTCCACCCTTCCTACCCTGTGCTGTGGCCTGGAGGCCAACCTTGATAAACTGCACCATCCAGGCCCGCAGTCTAGCCTGCTTGGCCAAGTGGGAGGCATGAGCAAGAGATGGGAGAGCCTCACCTGCCCGTGTTGTCAGCCTCCCCCGGGCTGTGGCCTTCACTACTCCTACGCACGCTCCCTCTCCTCGGCCCAGGACTGATATCCGGGTCCCACTCTTGTTAGCCCGGGGTGCTGCACCACTCCGGTAATTTCCCCGAACCCAGATCACTCCCGTCCACAGCCCCCCACATTGAATTCTCTCCACCTGCCCTGCCAGAGCACAGCATTCGTTTCCCGCTGGCATCCGGACCACCACATAAAGCAGCGGGGGGAAACGGCAGCAAAAAGAAAACATAACTTCACAAACACAAAGGCAAAAATAAACATTAAATACAAAGTAAAAAAAAAAAAGGGAAAAAGGAAAGAGACATAAAACCCCAACATGACCAGGGAGCCCTTCCTCAAACTGAGCCTCATCTCAGGCTCCTTCCCCTCAGCCTAATCAGCTGGAAGCAAAGAAAAGATGTCAGAGCAGGAATGAAGGGACCTTCTCTCCAGGGTCTCCCTGGCTCTGCCCTTGCCTCCCACCATCTAAGCCATACACAGAGAAGGGTAGAGCTGCCCCCTCGGACACCTGCCCACCCACGGACGCTGCTGGGTCCCCTCAGGGCACCCCTGCCCGGGGGAGCCCACAAACCTCAGAATTTGCTAGTGGGCGCTGCAATGTGCCCGTGAGCCACCCCAGACCCCAGGGACACACAGGGGGACGATGACCATCCCGGATTTCAGTCTCAGGTATCTGACACTGAAGCTCCAAAAGGCAGACGGCAAGGGGCTGGCACACGGCAGGCACACGGCAAATGTGAGTGTAATCACGGACACGGCTTGCCCAGTCTGGGGGTGGGAGGGAACCTCAGCAACCTGATCTCTAGGCTGTTCAACATCAATCATGCAAATAGCTGGTAGTTTGATTCTTGAGAGACACTGAGGCATAGCGAGACCACAGCCTTGTCCAGCAGCTCTTCAGAGGTCTGACTCCAAGGATGGTCAGAATATTGCTTTTTTTCCTTGCAGTCAGCCAACATGTCTCTGGTTTGAATCATTTTCAACCAAGCAAATATTCAGTGAAACAAAAAATAATGCACTCAGCCCTGTACTTGGTCCTGCAGGGCCTGGGATAAGGTGGGCTTGTGTCCCCAAAAGACCTCACCTCCTGGTCAGAAGCCCACTGGAACAACTAGGAGACAAGACAAAATGGCATGCAGCTGCCGGATGAGCAGTGGGGGAACTCAGGAAACGGGAATGCAGGCCCAACACCGGGCCCTGAAGACTGGGCACACTGGCTGGAGCACAGAGAAGAGGGAACAGCTTCCCAGGAGTCAGAAAGCGCATCACAGACACCTGGAAGTCATGACGAGCCCAGCAGGTTCACAGAGCAGCGGGGAGCACGCTTCAGAGGTCACTTTAAGGCTCCCACAGACCTGAAATAGAGTGACACCCTCCCCACAAAAACCCTGTGGTTTTCAGCTGTGCAAAGTAGGCAAGATGCAGAGTTAGAGAGGATCTGGAGGAGAGCGTCAAAAAGAATGTGAGGTTTATTAGGAAGCCCTTAAAGGAAAGGCACAGAGAGAGGAGGTAGATCGATGGGTCTTTTCACGAATAAGTAAAAGTGAAGTAAAATTCTGTCTCCACACAGAACAGGTCAACGGAAACTGGGCTCACGTGGGCCAAGAACTTCCTGAAGTTTAGGTTAGAGAAACTCCTCAGTTTACCAGACCAGTAGGGCAATTTTGAGGATGATTCTGACTCTCTCACCATAGCCAAATGCAATGGCCACAGGTGGACAGCAGACGGCCGGGCCTCAGGAGCTGTGAGCAAACAGAGCCTTTTAGAACCAGTCAGGGAAGTTGGGAAGGTGTGAGGGGCTCTATCTGTGAGGTCTGGGGCTCTATCAAGCCTCCCCCTCCTCCACGTGTGCCTGGTGGAGCTCAGCACGAGTGACTCCAATGGCCTGAGGAGGCTTTAAATTCCAGGCCATGCCCCCTGCCCCTGGGAGACTTCTAGCCCCTTTCACCACCAATGTAGGTACTCAGAGAACACAAGAAAATTAACATGAGCTTGAGTAAACAGTAGTTTGGAAAGAAAGTGTAATCAAAGGAGAGGGAGGATGAGGAGAAAAGAGGAAGGAAACAGCCTTTCAGAGCAAAACACTGAATTCTGACTTCTCTGAGGTTTGGAGCTGTTATCCACCATCTCCCTGTGATCTGAGGTGGGTGTGTGGAATGAAGAATGCAGGGATAACCTGCAAGTGACCTCAGAGTCAAGGAGGAACAGGAGGACGCACAAGGTCACTGCTGCTCCCCTGGCTCCTGCTGCCACCGAGCCAGGCAAAGGGAGCGCTCGGAGTTCTGTCCCCTGCACGCTGGCCTCACCTGGGTTTGGGAAGGTCTGAAGGCGGAGTCGAAGCCGTTCTGCAGGGAGTCGAGGAAGGGCTGGACCTTGTAGAGGCCGTGCGTGGTCTGGCTGGAGCGGAAGGCCACGACGTGGAAGTACTTGAGGATCTTCTCGAAGCGGGCCTGGCTCATGACGAGGGCGAGGCTCCGGTTGCTGTAGAAGCCACCGCTCCAGATGCTGAGGACCGACTCGCAGTGGGAAATGCTGGTGGAGATCATGTAGCCCAGGAACGCCTTCATCTCCGTCAGCGTCACCTCCACCCAGGCGCTGTCGCTCCCAAACCGCTCCTGGAACTTCTTGGCATACATGTTTGTCTGCACCACCATGTTCTTGAGGATGTTGTCTGGGACAAAGAGCTGGAAGAAGTCCATGGCACTGGCGCTGGGGGGCATCCTTCGGGTTGGACCTAAAACAAAGACAGGCCAAGCACTTATTGCTACAACCCCACACCTGGGTCCAGCAGGGACGCACCTCCCATTGCTGGGCCCCTGCTGGAGTGCCACCCCACGTGCCACCCTTCCAGGAGGAGCTCACTCCCCCCAGACAGAGGCACGGGGCCCTCCTGTGTGTTTCCAGTCACCTGTGTCCTAGCACCCCACCCAGGGGGTCCTCTCTTCACTCTGCACAGACCAGTCTTATGAATCTGACAAATTCAGAAATACTGATCCAGAGAGAAGGGGACACCCAAACGTCGGGGAGGAGACGCAAAGACACACTGAGTTCTTAACACAGGAGCTTGGCCATGGCTTCCTGGCTTTCATTTCCCTGTACATTAAGACGGCTTCACAAATAAGAACGCTTTCACCACTTGAGCCCTGAAAGATTCTATCCAGGCGAGACTGCAGGTTTTATTAGGCATTCTCTACGTGGTAACTTTAAATTTATTAGCGAATAAACCTGAAGGGGCTTGTTTAGATAACTTCACCAATGCAATAAAAACCTCACAATTTTTGACTAATGCAGAAACAGCTTATTGAAATATACATATACACACACACAAACATACATATATATGTAGGTAGATATCCTTAAGCAATATGGCTTTCAATTCCACGCAGTGACTTCAGCCAGGCTAACAATACGTAGAGATTTGTAGGAGACAAGCTTCGCTTCCATTCCATCAACAAAGTGATTTCTAATAAAAGCTGTGTGTTCTTCAGAATTTTAAACCCCTCTTCCCAACAACCTCCCTCTACTAGTGATTTGGGCAGTATCTGAAAAACAAATTTTCTACATCAAAATTAAGACTGACAATGTACATAAGACAGCCCAGGTTTTAGATTCAGAAAGACAGATCTGGGAGCGGAAACTCTCAGTTTACTTTTAGCTAACTGCACAGTCTTAGATAAATTTCGTCATCTCTTCTATTCATCAAATGGGCACAGTATCACTTGTTTCCCAAGGCTGTTGTGTCAGGTAGAATGGGGGTAGGGGGCGGGTGATGCAAGGCACGCGCCCAGCAAAATCCTGGCCCTGGAGAGGTTCCCAAACCTTGGTAACATGAGACACTGTCAACAGAAATCCACTGACGGCAGGCTGAGGGCTTTAGAATGCTCTAATTACCCTCAGTTTACAGAAGAAACTGAGGCCCGGAGAGTGAAGTGGCCACCATATTCACTTGCACCAACCATTTTTGGAAGGGCGCCAGGTGGTCCTGGCACCACCAGCGCCAAACTGGTCTTGGAGGCAGCGGCCCTGGCTGGCGTGACAACGAGACCAGGAAAACAGGAGGGCCTTGGTTAGCGAGAACGGCCTGAAGCTCCACACCCACCTTTAATGAAAATCATTTTATTTCCGCTAAACCTTGTAGCCTCTGGTGGGTGAAGCCATAAATTATTCAGGGGGAGCTCTCAAAGAGGAAAACCAGCATTTTAATTGCTACTATCATGCCGAGTAAGCAGAATGAAATTTTCTCTTCCAAAAGTTATGTATAAAGTAATTTTGCCTCCCAGGCCACTTCAAAATGAATTCGCGCAGCAAACTCTGGCCTGGCCAACTGCTCAATGAAGAAACTGGGAGGCAGCGGCTCCCTCTTATCTGTTTGGTTTTGATTTACAAGCATTCACCACAGCCTTTTAGTTGTGATTCCTAGTATTTGAAAAGTGTTGGCACAGGCCAGTCATTGGGAAGGAATGGAGAGAGGGAGAGAAGGCGGAAGGAAGGGAGGGAGAAACCGCTGTTCAGGAGATTCAATTCCTATCATCAACTTAATAATATGGCCATTTAATAATATGGCCCTGGGGAGTGGGCAGCATTCCCAGCGAAGGCAAGACTCCCTTACATTGGATTCACTTACAGCGAGCTTTTCCAGATATTACCCGATGTGATCCTCACAACATCCTTGTGAAGCATCACCCATTCCGCAGGTGAGGAAATAGGAACTCAGAAGGGTAAGGACACAGCTCAAGGTCACCCACTTCTAAGCGCCTTACATTGGAGTGATCTTTGTCCCACCTCGCCTAGAGCCAGTACCAGTGCGCCTGCTGCCCGCTATAACTGTTAACACGCCCCTTCCACTCTCACAAGCATCCCATCTGGACAAGAAGGGATGTGGCTCTCCTGCACACTGTGCGTACATGGCACTTAAGCCAGGTGCATGGTCTTCAAACCACACAACTTCGCTCCACCTCCCCGATGCACACATTTCACGGTGGGCAAAGTAGGATTACAATGCACAGCCAGAAGTAACTCTGAAGGTAAAAGGAGAACCTACACTGCAAAAAATGCAAAGACAGCATGGAACTGGAGGTGCGGATGGAGGCAGGGTGGTAGGGAGGACCTGGAGGAGGAAGAGCAGGTGCCCACCCAGGTTTATCTTGGTGTCCGGGCTGGAGGTGGAGGGCTCTGTTGAGTGCATTGCCAGGTAATACACTCATACATCATCTCCCTTCCCTCCCCTCCTCACTCCCCACCCCTCCCCCCATGTCACCATGTCTCTCCTTCAAAGCCCCATCGCCAGCACCAACCTGGTTCCCTCAGTGTCCAGGGATCACCCACTCGCTCAAACCCAGGATGCCACAGCACACCCAAAGACCCAGGGCAGCACTGACAGTGGTTCAGTAATGCCCAAATTCCCCAAAGAGATTCTCCCACACCCACCCCCACCTAGGAAACTGACCCCCTCTCTTCAACAGTAACTAGAGAAGCAGATGTTCTGTGTAGAAAGGGACGGTAACACAAAGGCAGCTAGGGAAACTACTCATTCAATGTACATTTGAGTGTCGTACTGATCCTGGAAATAGAAAGGAATGAAGATCCGACATCCTCGCCCCAGGAGTTCTCATGTAGTGAGAGGAGCAAGCAACACACAGTGACCAGTAATGCCAGGCTCAGAGGAGGGCTGTGCCCACAAGAGGGACCCTGAATCCAGATTTGGGGGGCTGGGTCTGGGAAGCTCCCTGAGGGGGCCATGTGAGATGGGCTTTAAAGGGTGAGGAGTGAAAAGTCACCAGCCCCCGTGGGGTAGGGGTCGGTAGTGGGGTTACAGAGTATTTCAGGCAGTGAGAACTTGTGCAAAGGCTCCATGACCAGAGAAAATGCCCTCCGTCTAGTGGAGTGTGCAGGAGAGAGTGGCTAGAGGCATCGTGGGGCACAGGGCCAGTGGAGGACTGTAAGCACAATGGATCATGCTCATGCTTCAGGAGGGTCTCTCTAGTGTCAGGGGACGGTCTGGGGCTCTTCTTGAAGGCAGGGAGACCTGGCAAGGACCTCACTAAGGGGTGGCCACAGCAGATTCCTCTGCTGGCTCCCTCACCTCTGCGCACTGCACTCGGCTTCCCTACAGGTGTGTTCGGCATGGGGAATGGACTACAGGTGAGCAGAGATACTGAACATGGCCTGAACCCTGGGCGACAGTGGCCTCCATCCAACAGTGGCCTCACACATTTATCATTTCCATTTGTACCAGGACATGAAAATGGTTGATATTTTAAACTAAATGTGTCCAGACTGAAACTCCAGATTCCCCAGTGTCCCCTTCCCCTTTGATCCCCCACCAGCCCCCTCAGTTACTTCAGCCAGAAACCTGAACTGTGGGGATTCCAGGACCAGACTCATCATGGGCCACACAACCTCTCTGCACCGCAGTTTCCTTATCTATCAGATGGGAGGAAGAACCACCACAAAGTCACATGACCTCACACACAGGTGATGGCCTGTCCTGTAGGAACGGCTCCTGCCCAATCCTTTCACTCCACTCACTTCACCACCACAGACCTGGAGGCAGCTGGGCACCCTGCATGTTACTGATCCCCACCTTCAGGCCCCTCTGGAAGAAAAGGGGGGCTCTGTGTGCCTTCTAAAGTACACCCTTTTGGAGCCAGCCCAGTGGCATAGGGGTTAAGTTCGTACACTCCACTTTGGCGGCCTAGGGTTTGCGGGTTCAGATCCCAGGTGCAAACCTACACACTGCTTGTCAAGCCACGCTGTGGAAGTGTCTCGTATACAAAAAAAGAAGACAAAGATTGGCAACAGATGTTAGCTCAGGGCTAATATTCCTCACCAAAATAAATAAATAAATAAATAAAGTGCACCCTTTTAGAGACAGAAGCACTCACCTGGAGATGAGAAAGGCACTTAGAAACTAGTATTTTTGGGTACAAATCATTAGCAGCTTTGTGACAAAGACAAGAATCACTTAATATTGTGAATTAAGGATTTAAAATAATGAAATAATTTATCTCCAGTTATAAATAAATCAAAGTTATAAAAATATAACAGGAATGTCTTGCATCATCACAAAAATATTTCTCTCATTTGAGGCACTGAAAATTACATTCCATAAAAGGATAACGTAGAAAATAGCCGAACCATTGTTCTCAGTGCCAGCTGCAGCCGGTCTTCCTCTCTGGCTAAACTAATCATTTCTCTTGCATTCTATCTTCCTTCCTCCAGTGGCTGACACACAGGACAAGCCGTCTGTCTGACAAACACCTGAGGTGGAGTCTCAATTGTAGAATTCAGCCCCTCGGCCACTCGAGAGCACCAAGGCTTCTTCCCTTGACTAACCCTTGTGTTCACAGTGGAGTGACCAGTAACAAATTTGATTTGCAGCTGGATCAAGGCATCTGCACAAGGGTAGGAGCCATGGGCGTGAGGTCCTGGCCGTGCTCCTGACATCCCTGGGGCTCGGCCCCCATGTGGCCGGATGGGATAACTCATCCCCATCTCACTGGGCAGCTGTGAGCAGCGTCAAGGTTGCCCTTCTGTTTATCAGGTCTGATCTGCAATGCTTACCAAGATACCAAAGTCAGGTTCAGCTTAGTGTTAGTCCTCTAAATGGAACCTTCCAACAGAAGGCACGTGAAGCCACTAACTATTCCCCAGAGCCCTCAGAAAACACGCAGAAACGTGGCCAGGAAACCCCAGGTGCAGTGTCAGTTCCATAATGTATCAGCTGCAGGGATT